TGGAGTGATAGTTTATTTGATGCAGTAGCCATGAGTGTGTTTATCTGGACTTCAGAGCCGTTAATATGTGGACTTGCATGGCATAAAATTTTTTGCTGTATAATTTTATTATTGTTTGATGGTTTTACCTGGTGTGATGATTTAGATGGTATAGTTTTTCTTGGTTTGATGGTTTAGGTAGTATAGTTTTACATTGGATTAATGGTTTAAATGGTATAGTTTTGACTTGGTTTGGTAATTCAGAAGGTACAGTGTTGACTTGGTTTGATGATTCAGGTAGTACAGGTTTTCCTTGGTTTGGCGGTTTAGATGGTACAGTTTTGACTTGGTTTGGAAATTCAGATGGTATAGTATTAACTTGGTTCGATGATTCAGGTAGTACAGAGTTTCCTTGGTTTGATGGTTCAGATGATACAGTTTTGACTTGATTTGGTAATTCAGATGGTACAGTGTTGACTTGGTTTGATGGCTCAGATAGTATAGCTTGGAATATATTTGATGGCTCTGGTAGTATTGCTTTGTCTTGGTTTGATGATTTAGTAGCTATCTTCTTTTTCTTCTGTTTTGCCAAATATTTTAGCCAGCGGTTTTGTATTTTGACAGATTGTTGAAGTAATTGAGACTGGCTATTTTCAGAGGATGAAGCTTCTGGTTGCTGAATAGATTGTTCTTGAACGTTGCTAACAGCAGAAGGCTTTGAAGCAGGATGTTTAGCTAGTAACTTATTAATATGCACCCTAATAATGTGCATTGTAACAGCACTGGCAGAAGAGAAATCCATATCGCAGAATAAGCAATCATAGCTATCTCCGACTAATTGTAAATTAGATATATCTGCGTTGGTGACATTGTTTGAATGAAAATGTTTTTCGTGACATTTCAACGATATAGCTGTTTCCAAAACTTCACCACAAGTACCACACACATGTCCATTGTAAATATCACGACAGGTATGAGTTAATTTTATATGTTCCTCAAGTAGAGTAGATGTTCTGCAACGCCTGCTGCAGTTGTTACATTGAAAATGGCCATCATTAGAATAAATTGCTTTGTGTGTCTTTAAATAATTAACAGTTGCACACTTCGTCTGACAAATCTGACAAGTGTACTCAGACGACTGTTCAATTTGTTTTTGTAAGTGTGTAAAAAAATCTGGTTTTTGCAGTCGGATCTCGGATTTGCGATCAAATGGATTTCTTTTTTCAAATCTTTTTGCAACCTCAGTCGAAGATTCTTCATTCAAATGAACATGCATCTTGTGCGAATAAAAATGTGACTCATGCTTGAATCCTTCATTGCATATTTCGCAGATATAAGTGTAGGATTTACGTATATCCTCTGAGTAATGTGTAAGTTTGTAATGATTATGAAACAAGTACATACCTTGAAAGGTTTGCTTACAGAGCGAGCATGTGAATATATGATTCTTGTAATAATACATCATGTGTTCCGTATAACGATCATGTGTTTCATATACCAAATAACACACGGTGCATGTCGTGGTATTTAATTTATCAGATTCCTCTTGATTTGGTTGAGAATTGTTCATAAGACTGTTAAGCATTTTTTGACCATGTAGATGTAATACATGAGATCGAAGTTCAACTTTCTTAAAAAAGCCTTGGTTGCAAAACATGCAATGGAAAGTGTAGCTCTTTGAAAATTGTGGCACATGCGCCGCCGTAATATGCGTTCGTAGAAAACGTTTAGAACTGAATCCAGTGTTACATATCGGACAAATATCGGTGATATTGCAAAAACTGCGCATGTGGTGTTGCAATTTCGCGTGACTATGAAATTGCTTTCCACATATAATACATAGCGCAATTTTAGTGTCTGATTCAACAACATCTTGTTGTGCGTTTACAATATCCTGATCATTAATTGTAGAATTCTCTGGAAAATTATTCTCTGGAAGCTTTTCGGAGGTTTGTGATTCGTTAGCAGTTTCAATCCCTTCTGTAACTATCAAATCATTTGCAACAACAGAATTTTCATCAATTACCGACATCTGATTCTCATTTGACTTTTCTGTAGAATCATTATTCGTATTTTCACATAAAGCAGAATGAGGCTTCTCATATGCAACTTTCTGTTCTTCTGAAATTTTATCAGCGTTCTTGTTATGATGCTCTTTAAGAACAATATCCGAGAACTTAAGATTTTCGGATGTACTTGTCTCTTTCAACGAATTATTTCGATCTTCTTCATCTTCCTTTTGTACTACGCAATGATTTTCATGTGAAATCAAAGTTGACAGCGAGGATTCCTTACAATGAGAGTATTTATGATGCAACTTATTAACTTCTTTATTCCTCTTGCAGTTTATCTCTTTATCTATTGGGTGCTGATCATTCTTTCTTTGAATATATTTTATACAATGAACATTTAAATGTTGTTCTAACGCTATAAAATTGGGTAATATTATATAACATATGCAACATTGATTTAGTTTAAACAAATGTTCTTGCAAATAATGGTCACACAGTTTACGTTTCCGTTTATATCGTGCATTACATATGCTTGACATATATGCTACATGACACGACTTAATATGCATCTGTTTATCCAATTTTGAAGAGAAACTCTTATTACATATTTTACACAAAAAACAGTCACCATTAGATTTCTTGGCATCCAGTATTGCCTCTTCTTTTGTGATATCTACAGCTGGAAAAATTGCCAAACGTTCCAGAGAAACTTCTAATTCTTTAAGCACCGTTTTATTTTGTATATTATTTTCTCGAAATGACGTTGAGTTGCGTTGAACAGTGAGAGAAGCATTTGTTTTAAATGTGGCACTATTTGTAGAAATCTGATTATTTTGGGGATTTTCGTCGCATCTGATCAAAGGAATTATACAATCCTTGCATTTAAAACGAATCATATTAGTTTTCCAAAAATCTAGATCAGTCACAATCTGTTTCGTTTCAATGTTGCGTCCTGCATTAGATTGGGTCTTGGATACATCTTTACTTTTACTTCTTGAATGTAAATTTATTTGTATAAAAGGAATAACTCTCGAAGATCGTAAACTATAGGGCAGTTCACGATAAGATAAAATTGATTTATTTGTATCGTCATTATTCATATTATCTTTAGCAGCTGTGTCTGGAAGATTGTCCAAAAAAGTTTTCATCATTTCAACATCCGCATGTATTTTTACAAATGGCTTCTTGGCGAGAGATACGTCGTCCTTTTCATTTTGTTCCGAAGTAAAGTGTGTCATTCGTTTCGAGCTGTTACTTGATTTTGTAGATAAAAGCTCAACTTTAATATCTTTTGTCGATCTAGAGTTTGAACTTTTTTTTACTTGTCTATCACGATGTAAAGCAAACGTAGACGAACCATTTTTTATGTTTAATTTATTTGGACTGTGCTTATCGCATTTGTTCTTGTAAAGTTCAAGATATTCTTGTATTGTAGGTTGCCGTAATCTTTTCGTAGATAACATTTTGTGACTAGATGATTCTTCTGTTGTTGATCCCTTAGTTTTTATCAGGTCATTGTTTCTAAGTCTAGTGTTTAGTTCTTTAACGGGATTATTTGAACGTTGTTCTTCATGTGCATCAATCTTCAATGTGGTACTTTCTTGAGGTGTATTTACATAATTCTTGGATCCCAAATTCAGCTGTTTAACTCTATTACTGGAATATATTAACTCATTATGCATGTGAAACAAATGAGATTGCAACAACAGCTTTTCGTTAAAACTACGACCACAAAAGTTACAATATGAAGATGAAGGCTTGCAATTGCTGCCACGTGCAATTTTTCCATGAGATGTCATAATATGCTCATGTAACTTGTCGTGTGTTTTATACTGTTTGTTGCAAACACTGCATTTAAAAACTGCAAAATTGTAATAGTACTTATGTTGTTCACAAGCAAAACTAGAATTAAACTTTCTGAAGCATATGTCACATTCTAGGTGATTGAGTTTTTTCTTTTTTTCCGCGACTTTTTGTAGCTTTCTTTTTTCACTAAATCTGTCGATTGTTGTTCCATAGGACGTACTTTTAGCATTGGATGTATTCCTATTAAAAATTTCATTGGAAGATTGTCGTTTCTTCTTGGACTGTGATGATGCATCATGTACCAATTCTTCTGTGGTGTTCACAATTTTACGTTTTAAGTTAATAATTTTATTTACGTCGCTTGAATACGCAGAATGACTATTAGCTGTAAGTTCATTTTCTTTATTGTTTATATTATTTTTTTGTGAAATATTATTTTCGGATGGTGATGATTTGGAACCAATCAAATTAAAACAATTTCTAACTAACATACAATTTTCAGTCGTATTAATGTTCAATGTCGCATCAATAGGATCTTCCTCAATCTCCTCTTTGATCTTCACTCCATTTTGAATCTTCCCATCACACTGCAAAATATATAAATTTACTTTACCTTCTTATACCTATTTAAAAGCACAACAGATTTCTCTAATATTTAACTTTTAAATATTTAACCCTAAAAATAAAATGCACCTTAAATAATGGGATCGATTTTCCAACGCCATAAATAACTATTTGCTAAATAAATTTGAAAATATATCCCCAATCGTAAATGTATGAACTACAATAAAATATCCATATTATAAACTTCCATATTGTAAGGATTTTGCGTTTGAAAGACGTTGTAAGATGCAATAGCCTATATTCGCCGGATATCGTGCGACAAAAAGTTCCAAAAAAAGAGTGAAAGCATTTTATGTTTGAAATGTAAGACGCAATACCCTATATTCACCGGATGCCGTGCGACAATTTATGCCTCGTCGTGGAATTTATGATTTTGACTAACAGAGACTGAGACACATGCAATCAAAAAAATATTTGATGCATCGCCGCAAAAAGTATGACTTCGGCAAATTACAGTTATTTCTAGGAATTACTGCGCAGTTATTATTTCTACAAATTATTACGCAGTTGTTGCTAATCAAGAGATATAGAAACAATACCGAGTATAAATCAATTAGATTGCGTATTTCGTGTCGGACCAAAGAAGTGAAGTAAGATGAACCAAGGAAGCCGGAGTCGAGTTAAGTGAGTCGAGTCGAGTCAAACCGAATTGAATAGAGTCAATTAAGTCGTATTGTGATGCATAAATCGAATTAGATAACCTCTCGCTGACTCCCGTGCAAACTAATGAGAGCCATTGCAACATACAGAGTAGCCCATTGAAAACAAAACAGACTGAATAACTCCTACAAAAATGATTTTTCGAAAAAACGCAAAAACAGGTCGATTTTTATTGGGAAAGGAACATATTTTGACGTAAAATTCTTACCCTCAACTTCAATCCCCTAGGCAGAGGTTCCAACCCCTAAAAAATTTCAAATGGGAAGGAGGGTCAAATAATACATCATTAGAAAGATCTTTCAATTCTCTATATTCCTATGTTTGATTTTTTTAATTCGATCAATTCGTTTAGAAGATACAGGATGTTAAATCTAAAACTAACTAAATCTTCATATCTTCAAACTTTTTTCTTTATTATCTATCAAACCAGTACATTAATCAGTTGCAAGGGGTGTCTAAAGATATATCATCGTGTAAATTAGCGTAGTAATTGTTCGAAATGTTGACCACTAACTTCTATACAATAATAGAGATTTTGCTCGAAACGTCGCACATTCTGAAGCATTTGTAGGGTGATTTGACGGCATTCGTTGACGATACGTTGACGCAAATCTTCTAAAAAAGCTGGTTGTGTCCCCAAATTTGTCTCCATTGGATTTCTTTTTGTAGGGTTACTTAAAAAGTAAAATTTATGCAACACAACCGGTTTCTTTAGAAGATTTACGTCAACGTATCGTCAACAAATGCCGTCAAATCACTCCACAAATGCTTCAAAATGTGCGACAACGTTTCGAGCAGAATCTCTATTATTGTATGGAAGTTGGTGGTCAACATTTCGAACAATTACTACGCTAACTTACACGATGGTATGTCTTTAGACACCCCTTACAACTGATTAATGTACTAGTTCGATAGATAATAAAGAAAAAAGTTTGAGATATAAAGATTTGTTTGTTTTAGATTTGACACCCTGTATCTTCTAAACCAGGCCTCGGAATTATTTCATCTTTTCAGCCAATTCTCGTGGTATACGCCTCCTTTCCTCTCTTCACCGCGCGTGCGGTGAAGAGAGGAAAGGAGACGTATACCACGAGAATCGGCTGAAAAGATGAAATAATTCCGAGGCCTGTTCTAAACGAATTAATCGAATTTAAAAATTAATCGTAGGAATATAGGGAATTGAAAGATCTTTCTAATGAATTATTTACGAACCCTCTTTCCCATTTAAAATCTTTTAAGGATTGGTATCCCCGCCTAAGAGGTTGAAGTTGAAGGTAAAATTTTACGTCAAAAGATGTCTCCCTCCTAATAAAATCGACCTGTTTTTGCGTTTTTTCGAAAATCATTTTTGTAGGAGTTATTCAGTCTGTTTTGTTTTCGATGTGTCACTCTATATATCTCGTACGCTCTTATAATCCTGAATAAACTAAATTATTGAAAAAAAAAAAACTGCCCGTGCCTGTAAGCAGTTACCAGAAACACACAACCCCACTGCGTGCATGTGTCATAATGGCTAATCATGTGCTCTTAAAGGACTCCATTATATCCAATCCTCTTTGATCAATACGATCAAAACTGACTGTATATTTGAGTAACATTTACCGCCCCGAGCTACTAATAAGCTATATAACATATTAAAGTAAGTCTTGAAAAAGTAGAGACTTCCACTGTTGAAAAGAAAAAGCTATATTGGACGAGAACGTTTGTCTCATATGTGTTCGTTTTTAATATGCCTATTATACACGGTAGTAAATGTGAGAAAAGAACAGACGTTGTGTGTTGTGTGTGCATGTGTGTGTGTGTATCTCCGCCTATTGCCTATCCTTGGCCGCCAACTACACATCCGTTATTATGGGAAAAAATCTCTAGTATATTGTATAGGGAGTTGCAAACACGACTTACGCATGTGTAATAATAAAATATGTGTTTTTACCCTGGAACAAACATTTTGACATACTAAACAACTTTGGGCATACTCTCAGTGGGTGTTTACGATAATTCAAGTTCGAGTTAGTTTCACTAGGACCGAAAAATGAGATAAACATAACCATCTAGAACCTTTATGATTTATGACAACTCGACGCTGTCTTGTATTGCTTGAGTTAAATTAATTGAATTTGTTGAGTTTATAGAGCAAATTTTATTGTAATAAAAAAATGTCAACTGCAAATCAGTCTATGAAAGAAACAAATAATGTTGGTATGTATGTTGGTATACCTCTTTAATAGATATAATTATATATATATGTATATAATTATATTTATTAAACTCAACAAATTCAATGAATTTAACTCAAGCAATACAAGACAGCATCGTGTTGTCATGAATCATAAAGGTTCTAGATGGTTATGTATATCTCATTTTTCGGTCCTAGTCAGTGATGCGATATTTCCCACAGCGGTCCCGGCTCCGCTGCCTCACACAACCTTACAGAAGCGCTACGTCACGTATCCGTGTGAGCTCGGCCGTTCAACCAATGGAAGAGAGCGAACGCTCCCTTCCACCGAGCCGACACAACAGACGATAAATGCATGCTACTTGCATGTTAAAAGCAAGCGTTTCTGATTCAGAAAAGAAATTCTGAGGCGAGTGGCTGGAATATTAGAGATCACCTGTTCGAAACCTGCTTCGTGCAACTTTTTTTTTTTTTCCACATTTGTTTCTAACATAGTAAATTATTAGATAATATTTTTTGCCCAAAAAATAATATTTTCTATTTATTATTAATATTCGC